GGAGGGTGGGTGGGTGATGTGCAAACTCTTGCTGAATGCATCCAGGAGGCGAAGGGAACCAGCCCACAGCCCTGCGAAAACAGCCCTCTTCTGCTCAAAAACAAATGACATCACTAACACCAGAGCACCATCTGTACCTTCCTCTTCCTTCCCGCAGAGCAGGAGAACGCTGGGAAGGGCTCAGCTGTCCAACCGGGGAGGCTGGATACGGCCCACGCCTGCCCGAGGGAGGCAGAGACCCCGGCAGGTGCGCCTGGGGGACAAAAGCATCAGGGCGCTAATCCCAGCCCGTCCTAGAGCCTGTGGCTGTTTCGGGGGCTCCTCGCACCTCCCTGTCCCCCTTTGTCAGTTCCCAAAGACCCCGGCCACCCGGCTGCCCTTCGTCCCTCTCGCAGCGCTTGAGCTCCTCTCCTCGGCATTGCTGGCCCTCTCAGGGGTGAGTAGCCCAGAAGGTGACTGGCATCACCTGGGAGCCCAACAGAGCCTTTGGACCCAGCAGAGCCTTTGAGAATCTCGCGCTGCTGCTGCTGCTGCTGCTGGGGGAGGAAATCTCCCTTCGCCCTGTGCATTTTGCCCCAGGGGAGCCTAGTTCTGAGGCACGTCTGACAAGTGGTTTCATACACCTGGTTCACACGCACCCACAGCCCCAGTGACCTTCCCCCCCCCCCCCAGTTTCTAAGCAGGCACTCTGCCTCCCAGGCGGCACATGGGCAAGGGCGCCGCTGCGCTCTCACCCCAAGATCCTCCCTCCCCTTCTGCTCCTCCCCACCTTTGTCCAGTTTCTTGTGCTTCTCAAGGAACCCAAACCAGTCCTTGCCGGTGGCTATTTCGTCATGCTTCTCGCTGGGGATGTCCTCCTTGCAGGCAGACTTCAGCTGGTCCAGGTCTTCATTGGTGATGTTCTCGGCTAGCTCCTCCAGCAGGGCGCTGTACTCTGCCATCTCTGCAAGGGAGAAGGGGTGGGTCAGGCCCCAAGGGATGGACTAAGGCCCCACACCCTGGGCGCTGGTCTTTCGGTGCACCCTCCACCCCTCATCAGGTAAGGCGGTGCTGCCTTTGTCAGGCTGGGCATCGGCTGCTGCCAGGCGGTTGGGGTTGGGGAAGGGCCCATTAACTCTGCTGCTCTGCGGGCACAGGCGGCGGCTGCCCTCCCTTCCTCTTCTGTAGCTCCTCACCTAGCTGAGTCTGGAGTCAGAGGACCTAGGCAGGCTGCCTGGGTGGTTTAAACACAGATGGCAAGTTGTGCCTTCGAATGGACAGAATAAAATCCCAACTAAAAACGGTGCGCAGACTGTGTTGGTCTCCCGCTTCCCCCTGGAGAATAGACTTTCTGCATCCCAACAGAAGTCTGGTTTCAGCTCTGCCCAGCAGATTAGTGATGAGGGTTAGAGCCTTTTAATTTGAAAATGAAGACAACAGGAAATAATTTCCAGACAGAGGCATCACCCAGCTTTCTAGGGCAGTCCAGAATCCCTGACCACGTGCCATCTGGGTGGGATGGGGTGGGTCAGTTGTGGATCACGAGAACGTGGCTATTTTTTGTAAGAGGAAGGTAGCACAACTGCACCCACTGCTGTGTCTCCGCTAGGCTTTGTCAGCCACCGAGGACCTGACCCTGATTCCTTGTGGCACCATCCTTCAAGAGGTGTGCCACATCCTTAAAAACCCTGGACGTGCTCCGTCTTTCTCGCCCTGCATCAGAAGCTGAAGTCTGCGGGTTCTCCCAAGCTCGCCCACTTCCTTGGCACTTGCTCCTGAGTTTGATCGCTGCTTTCCAAGCAGGACCTGATCAAATCTCAACGTGTTGCTAGCTTCTGCGGGGGGGGGGGGGGGCTCAACCCCTCCCTGCCAAGTGTGTAGCCCTTTCTTTCCTCTGGGAGCTTGACAGAAAGGCAGGGTGGGCTGAATGTGAGACAGGGCAGAACTGACAGGCTTTAGATCTGCCTTCGCAAGAAGAAAGAAACTGGGGCCATCCAAATTCCTTTCCCACACGGTTTTCTCAAACGTGAGAGCAGATTCTGGTATATTCTTGAGGCACGAATGCATTTATTTTCCCGAAACAACCAGTGGAGCCAAACATACCTTGCCTCTCTTCATCTCTCTCAGAAACATGCCCTAAATCTGTTGTTTGCTATCTCACTGCAGTTGCTGTTCCCTGTTAATGCTGCGCAAAATCCAGTGATTTATTATCCAGAGGTATGGGAAATAAAAAAGTTGGATTTCCAGACAGCGGTTAAGAGCTCTCATTCCACCCAGCCTACTTCTTCATTTGAAAAATGTACTTGTTTAAAAGAAACCCTTGCTTAGGGACTCGGTTCTTTAGCGGGAGAAGAAAAATGTGAAGTTGTGGGAAATCTAGATCCGTATGCCCCAAGGTATCGTGCCTAGACGCACCGCAGGGCACCGACGCAGTTGTATGAGCTCTCACACCCTTTACGACAATTGTGTTCTTGCCCAGCTAGGAAATAAAGGCTCACGTGTGCTAATATAAATGCCACCGCAGTTCTGCCTATGCGTGCCATGGACCGCCTTCCTGTGCCCTTTAAAGCAGAAGCACACGCATGCACATCCCCAGCTTCCCACATGGCACCCCCTCCTGAAGACCCACATTCCTGCCAGGTGGGGGGCTGCACTCAGGCCCAGAGAGAGACCAGGGAACCAGAAGCCCCTCAAACAGTGGCTGTCTGTCCACCTCCAGCCCCTCAACCACAAGTCTTTGCCTGCAAGCCAACAGATGCCATTCATCTCCGGGATGCTCCCTGACCAGAACACCCGCTTTAATTAACCTTCTCCTGTGCAATAACTCTCGTGCCCTGGTCACGGCCGCTTATCATTCCCCACGCACACCAAAACATTTATTTCCGCTGCTCCAACATCTCTGTAGTACCTGCCACAGTTTCCTAATCCCCCTTCACCAAAAAGGCTCGGCGGTTCAACAGGAGCACATTCTCGACACAACGTTCGTGAGCGGCTGCTTCCCCCCAGGTGAAATTGCCACGTTCCTTCTCTGCACTTCTGGTGCACATGACTTTCTTTGCATACCCCCCACCCACGCCTATGCCGAGGGAGGGGGAAGCCCCCGGAGACTCCAGAAGAAACCACACAAATTCAGCTTCAGCGGGTGCTTGTTTCCGTCGGCAAAGGTAAACGCCCCAGTTGCGCACCCAGAAGTGTGCAAAACCAGGGTCTGGTCTCCTGCCCCCTTCCCTTCTCCCTTTTTCACTTGCTTGGCGTGGCCTCTCCTACAGAGCGATTCCCACGGAATTCCTGGCATTCCCTGCACGTGACTGCCCGCTGTGGGGGCCACAAGGACCCTAAGCCTTCGCCACTGTCGGCTGTGCCGCTGGAGGGCGAGGCAGGCGAAGCCACCCGGGGGACACTGGGCACGGAGAGGCACTCGGGAGAGCCTGCAAGGAGGAGGATGCCGGACGAGGCCGCTCCGACCAACGGGGAGTCCCTAAAGACCCCCTCTGGGTCTGGTGGCACCCCTGGAAGGAATGCTGCCCTCCGGGGCCCAAGAGGACCCCAACAGCCCTGTGACCCTTCGCTCTCGTTGATTCCAGCTGCTCTTCTCAGCCACTTCTCCTTGGCGGAAGAGGTTGCAGAGGGAACTGGTCTTCCAGACACCACAGAGCCATAATGGGGCCGGTGTGGGTTTGGGCTCAGCAGCTGTGGGCACGTGGCCATGGCAATTGCTAAACCGCAGTTTCGGTACCAAACATTGTACAAACATGGCCAAGAGGGGGCTTGGGCCACAGAGCTCCTTTCGACCAGCCAGGGCCTCCCGCCAGCAGAGCCCAGCTCGGCCACCGTCAGCCGGCGGGCCGGCTGTTGTCCTGAGTGCGGGATGCGGGAGGCCGATCCAGCTGTTGTTCCAGTCCAGCAGGAAACGCAGGGGCCGGCGCGCCCGGAAGAAGGGGCTTGGCGCAGGGTGCGCTCGGCCTCCTCTTCCCCCCGCCCGCCTTCTGCTCTGCCGGCCTGCCCCACCTGCTCTGCCTTCTCCCGACTTCCCTAGGAAGAGGAAATTCCTGCTCTGTTTGCAAAAGGCAACCCCCTTTCCAGATGGCTGTTTTTCTGAGCAATGAGCCACGGAGGGGGAGAGGGAGGCCAGCCGGCTCCAGCCAGGGCAAATGGCTGTTCCGCGTTTCTTGCCTCCCTCTGCCCCTGGGGCGCGTCTCCTCCGGGCACGCAGGAGCTGGGCAGCCGTGCACCCAGCCGACTGCCCGGGGAGGGGGCCTGCCCTGCCCTGCCCTCCGGACCCTGTACCCTGCTCCCGAGGGCAGGGGGGCGGCCCGGGAGCCCTCTTCCCGCCCGCGGCCTCTCCACCCCCC